AAAAAAAAAAAAAAAAAGCTATTGTGAGTCTGGACAGTTGTATACTTTATAAGAGGTATAAATTAATCTTTGGAAGGTCAATTCAAAATGTGAACACAATGAGGAAAATGCTACCAGTTACAGCACATGGACTTTCTCTAGGATAGCACAGCTGTTTGATTCTCTCGATAAACATGTTTGTGTTTTTGTTTTTTTTCAAGTAGGCTCCACAGCCAGCATGGAGCCCAACATGGGGCTTGAACTCACAACTCTGAGATGGAGACCCGAGCTGAGATAAAGAGTTGATGCTTAATTGACTGAGCCACCCAAGGTGTCCCTAAAAACGTCTGTTTTCTGACATTATAGGGTAGTATTTGGTGTTGCATTTCTGGAAAACAGGTCCCACTCTTCTGTATATGACTAGGTTTTGAACTAGGAATTCCCCAGTGATTTAATTCGCTGACTAAAAGTCAGTTCCATAAGGAAAGATCATGCTTTGTTATGGCTTTCTGAAAAAAACTGTACATGAGAGTTCTGGTCATGAAGATTAAAATCTCAATTCAGCAAGTACATTGCTTTACACATTTTATTTCTTTTACTATTTGCTATGAGTCTATTATATTTATATGGATAAGTATATAATAATTTATAATATAATCATTAGTTGTAACTAAGTGTTTATTAATAAATATAATATATATTAATATAACATTGCTATGTCAATAATGTAAAAAATACAATATTCATAAATACATTATTTATAATACAATAAAATATATCTTTGTAGTTAATAAATACAGTGTCATATTAAACATAATTTATAATATAATAAGTACATAGAACTTATATATTATATATAATTATAAATATATAATAATAAATATATACAATTATGGTCTATTACTTTTTAAATTTATTTTCTTTTTTATCAGTTATTTTAATTCTCACAACCAGAATGCGTCAATTAGCATTAAGACAATAGAACTTAACAGTAAACTGTCAGCAAAACTGCTATTAATAAGAATTCTCCAATCATTTCTCTCTTTTGACATTTTACTACTCATCTTTGAGGCACAGATACCTGACGGACCAGGGATTGGTACAATGACTTGACTTTTGTTCTGTCCTTTTGTGTGGATGGAAGGTTGTCTCTATTTACTTTGGACAATATGACCGTCCAGAGTGGCATACCCTGTAATTCATGGGCCATCTGATTGAGTAATTTAATGGAGTTTTACATTAATCTTTGTTATTTTAGAATCTGCCAGCTCAGTCTAAGAGCAACACCGGTCTACATTCTACATTTTCTGCCGACAATTGTTCCCCAGGTCTTGGACTTCCTCTGGTTAATTCCAGAGGTGGTTAACATCCACAACAAAAAAGAACGTAGGCAGATTCCATTTTCTTTCTTCAAAGAAAACTGTAGTTTTCTGAGCAGACCAGCACAGCAACCTGGGTCTCCATGTGCCCGGATGACCACTTCTGTCTATTCCTCCCCAGGGATGACTGAGTGTGGAGTGCTGCATGAGCCCTAGGTGTTTATCTGGGCCTTACACGTGTGTATCATGGACCTCCCGCTGGCCACCACTGCCTTCTGAAATTCTCAAGAGCTCTGCAGTCATTGATAACAATAAGAATCCTTCTCTAAGCTTCAACTCTTAGGAAAATACATGCCAGCCTCCATGTTCAAATTTTAAAGTTACAATCTGAACTCAAGTTGACTGTACTTGGTGGACTTCTGAAGATTCCTTTACAAATTTGAAAGAATAGCAGCCTTTATCCATTTATTTTACAATAATTTTAATTTATATAGTTATCTCTCTGAAAGTCCTTTTGATGTTAAAAAGCTGTCATACTTTTATTATCTTTGTTCTTTGAGAGATTAAAGCTGGTTCTTTCAGGGAAGTCTTAAGGAGATGAAGCAGGGAGTTGAGGGGGCCTCTCACTGCACATCTTCAACTGTTCCCTCCATAAGACCTCACTGAGCATTGTTCTGAGGGGACTAATATTGCCCTCAGCACAGAGTGGCTGCTGGCTTGAGGCTTATAAATATAACAATGACCAGAATGTTCCAAAATACACATTCCAGCTATATTTCAGAAACAAAAAGGTGTCAGTAATAATAATATAAATACAGAATAATTTAGAGGCTCTTACCCTTGCTTTCTAAATAGCAAAACTATCAAATCCTAAAATATATACCCTTAAAAATGGGCTGATTTTAGTGACAGGTAGCAGTCTTCCATGAAAATGATGAAATTCATTAAGATTAATAATAATGAATATTATTAATAATTCATGACAAAAATTAAAGGGTTATTTTTTTCTTAAATCCAAATTTGTAAAAGATGGAGCCAGTATTAGTTGCCTATTCTGCTTTCCTTTGGCGACGTGGTCAATACTTACAGTGAATTCAGAGAGCGTAGTCCTTGGAAAGCATCTGGTGCTAGTTCGGAGATCTGATTATTGCTCAGGTCACTAAGATTAGAAATAGGGTTAGGTTAAATTAAATAGAATGTCAGTGAGGATTTACTGCAGGAGAAAGCTATTTACTGCCTTTACATGTCAATTTCGCACCTATTAATACATGTATAAAATTTGCAACATAAAACATCTGAAGCATCTTAAATTAAAAAAAATCAGACTTTTAAATCAATTACTGGCTCTTTTCTTAAATTATTATAAAAGCTGCCATGTCTTATTTTTGAAAATAGAACATCTAAGATTTGACTGCATACTATATTGATCACATAAATTCACGCGGGTGTGAATCAATATGTTAAATTACAGAGAACGTTAAAATATTACATAGTTTAGCTTTTAACATCACAGTATTATAAAACTAGCAATCGGATAGTCACATCACTTAATATTTAAGCTGTCAAACACTCAAATATTCATACTTAAGTGAATGTCTGCACGGTCATGACCTGTATAATTTTTAAAATTACATATATTCTAGAATATTATTCACTCACATTCTTCTAAGCTTTTTATATGGTGAGAAAGCTCCAGGAGGGATGACCTTGATTGAGTTCTGTTCCAAACGTCTGCAATGAAAAATTTCAATTTTTAAATGGAAACGTGAGCTCTCAGGGATGTTTAATTCAAGCCCAGGATGCATGTCAAGAAGCCACGTTGATGCTCTTCGTGAGTGATTCTTTTTTTCCTCAAAAATAAGTACTAAAATTAATTGTGCTGTGCCCTAAATGTGGGGCAAGATTGGGAATAAAAACAAGGCTATTATAAAATGAATAAAAATATCCTGATTTTTAGGCATTACAGGTCCATTAATATTTAAGTCTGGACTTTGTATAAAAGAGAAAGTACCTGTAAGAAACTAACTTGGAAGTACATTAAAATAACCTTTATATCAGTATGACAAATATGTATAACACTGAACAGATGTATAACATGTTTCAAAGACAATTGTAACTCTTCCACAAAGGAAATTGCTGTTGAATATTAAGTTTTATAAACCTTTTATCTCCTCTACAGAAAACATATTATAGATTAAAAATGCTGTTATGCCCAGAAAATTAATTTTGCAGCTTCTTATGAGGTAAATCTTAAATTCCAATCCATTAAATACCATAGGTACTTTTCGGTAAGACTGGCTGGACTCTGAATACTTCGTGCGAAAACCACTGCAGCAAAGAGCATTCAAAACACAACTGAAGTGGTTTTGATCATGCACCAAAATCAGAGTTGAAAATAAATCTATGGTTGTGTTTTCAGAGAAAGACATGATTTTACCCACTAAGTTATGAACCACACAAATACATTTCCTTCAGTATCGTATCCATCAAAAACGTTGCCTCTCAGCGTCATTTCTATCCATGTGAACGCTGTAATAAACATTTCCCATCCCTTCCCCTCTTCTCTTTGTATCCCAGAGGCTGACTCTTGGGAACCATATAATCCCAGGCTCACTAGCCAACTGATTTTTGTGGAATTTGGCCAATGAGAGGCACTGGTGGAGACTGAAGGTAGGATGAAGCAAGAAGCCAGGATATTCTCCCTTTCTCTGTCTCAGGGGATGTCCCCAGCAGTGGTCTCATCTCCTTCCTAATTTTAGCTCCTGCTGGGGCCACCTCCTGACTTTGTGTAACATTCTTTTCTTCTTAGATCTTTGTAGACCTGGATGTGGAGGCAGCTTTCTGTTCTCTGTGTCACCTTCACACCTGCTTAATTTCATCCCTTATATTAAATCTCTCTGTTAAAATACCTAGCATGAGCTTCATTTTCCTGCCTGGATTAAAATACATATATATACAAATATATATTTACGTATACATGTTTATATTGGCATATTTATATACATATATAAATACAACAACTATATATATATATATGTTGACTATACATGTGCCATATACATTGGTTCATGTTTTATTGAATGTTGGTAAAAACTGAATGTGAATGAGGATATATGTATCAGCAACATTTAATGAACATCAAATCAAAACAAACAAAATATCCCCAGAAGGTTAAGTAGAAATGCCTACATTTTGGTCTTTTCTGATTCCAAAACCCTTCTTTAGTTCCAGGCTTTCCTCAACAGCCTCAGGGTTCACACTGACCTCCTCATCTCAACATGCAATGGGTATCCACAGTCATCATTGCTCTTAAACTCCCTGTAGCATTTGATAGTGCTAACAACGCTTCTTCCCTGGATGCGTTACCATGCACCTCTGGTTCTCTTCCTTGTCTCAATCTCTGGATTTGCTTCTAATCCTCTGAACCCAGTTATTCCCCAAGTTACTGTCCCTTCCTTCCTCTCTCACACAGAAGGTAATTATTCCTCTGTAATTTAGTTATAATTCTTTCCCTCCCAAAAGCAGAAATTATTTTGTTCACACTAAAGATAAATACAAGTTTATTTACAAAATATATAAGGAAGAAAATTTAATTTTTTATATATATTTATTTTAGATCTTTGAAGTCTTACTGTATAGAGAATTTTGAGTTGTATACCTTATATCAAATATCATACCATACATGTTGTCCTAATACTATTAAGTATTTTGGGAGATGTTATTTTTAATGTCTTTATAACACTTAATTATCAAAATGAACCATCATTAATTAATCATTCTCTATTATTGGCCATTTAGGTTAGTAATAATTTTACGTGATTATTAATAACATGGCTTAGTTGTCTTAAGACAACTGAAGCATGGCCTCCTCCTGAAGCCTTACTTTATTTTCTCAGGTAAGGTTAGTTGTATCTTTCTTTATACATCCAAGGGCATTCTCTTCTCTGTGCCTCTGCTCTATCTCACTACATTCTAGTCATTTTTCACATATCCCTCCTCCACCAGGTTTGTTGGCTCCTAAGGGGCAGATTTACCCCAGAAGACAAGAAATAAACTGTATGAAGAAAATATGGATTTGGCACCTGGATTATTTATCTAGGTCTGGAGAAAGGGTACTTTTTTCAAAATCTCTAAATATAACAAAGGACATTTAAATCATTTCACTGTTACACTATTGATCGGAATGTTATAGATTGATGGTTTAGAGACACATTTTTAATTTTTTTTTTTTGCTGTGATCCCTTCTTGTAGTTAGATTTTAAGAAGTTTAAAATGTAATCAATGAAAATACAGTGAAAGCAAGCTATAGATGCAAGACTATCGACTAGATGACTTTCTACAAATCTAGGCCAATGAAGAATCATTTCATTTTGTTAAAGATTAGCTCAAAATAATGTAAAGCTATGATGAGAAAAAATAAAAATTCTTAGCATCTGGAAGATTTCTTTCAATGCAAACAGTGATGCAAAACTAGTTCATATGATTACTTTTCATAAATATCATTTCAAGTTCTTGAAAATAAGAAAACCAGTAGTCATTCATTCATTCATTCATTCACCCTTTGTATTCTACCTGTGCAAAATATATTATATGAATGGAATTCAATGATGATTGGAAGAAACATGTTTATACCCTTATGGAAGTTTTATTGATAAGGCATCAAATTTTGCCTTTACATTTCCAATTAATTTGTTTAGTACAAGTTTTAAAAAATGACATATTCAGCATTGAAATATCAATGACATTAATTCACAAATGTGGCCAAATTAATTCTACTATCATATATAATTGAAGAGCTTCCTTAGAACGTTTAAAATTCATTTATTATTTTAAAGTCTCTAAATCCAGAATACTTATAATGATCACTAATTGTCCTAATGGCACTCAAATACATTTTACTGTAACAACTAAATTTAGATGTGTCTAATCTGCAATTAATTTCATTGATAAATATTCCAACTAAAGCAAACAAAAGATATATAAGTGAGGCTATATATATGTTTTAGAAAATGTATGCACAAAAAGTTATAAAACAAGGAGAATTCATGATGAAACAGTGTTAAATTTTACATGCAAAAATAGTAATTCAAACATAATACAGTCCTGTTGCATGTATCAATCATTCTTGCAACGTACCATAGTTGCAATGCCTTCACATTGCAAACCATTTCATTTAGAACATATGCAACAGAAAGCTGAACGATGACATATAAAATGGATTTGCTTGCTTTTCTTTATTTATCTATTTGCTTCCAACCTTTTTTGTTAAAAAAGAAAAAGTATTTGAAACAGAGCTTACATGGTTATTTACACTGACTCAGCAGCTAATTGGTTTTTATGGCACTGTACCAGCAGTCCATTAAGGCAAAGCATAATTGCCTCCTTCATTCAAACAGACAGATTCTCAAGCAAGAAAATATTCTACCACTGACAGATGTCAACCAATAAATTTTAAAATGTTTCAAAATGTCCATTTTGTCTTCTTTAGTTGGCAAACAATAAATTAATGTGTACTTTCTTTAAACTTTCAGATCTCCAGGACCTTATGCTTCATTAGAAGAACTTAAGAATATATTTTTAAAACTGTAAGCAACAACATATCAAATGGTGTCCATACTTCTATAGAAAAGTGCAGATGGTACTTAAACCAGGTTATAAAAAAGAAGGAAGAAATATATTATTCAGGTGAAGGGTAAAAAAACAAGTAAATGAAATGTACATTTTCTATCTTTGCTATCCCACAATCTTCTATTTTAGTAGCATAAAATCTGATGAATTTTATAGAGTGCAAATTTGAATCCATTGTTCCATGAAGAATCTAATTAAAACCATTCCAGGGTTACAAAAACAGATAATGGCCGAGATATATCTGCTGTGGATAAAATCCACCATAATTAAGAGCCTTCCAAATGTTAGTCCTTCATAAAAAGAAAATTCAAATTTTGAATTTCAAAGTAAAAATATATTTAGAAAACTCAGTAAGGGAAGAAGAAAATTCTATCAACCACATACTGTATGGAAGCCTTTTTCATGTAAAAGTAGCCCAAACCTTTTTCTCCACAGAATGTGTATGAACAATTCCTAAACATTTTATCACTCTGTGTGTGTGTGTGGGGGGGGGGGGGTGTGGGTGTAGTATATAAAAGCAACCTGCTGTTACCACTTCATCAAAATCACAAGGAAATTTTAGTGAAAAGTTCAATGAGATAAGAAAATGGGGACAATTTTATAACTCCTCCATCAAAAAGTTCAACACTACAGTATGTTTAACCAATAAAAACCTTTCTCCTCACTCACATACATCCTTTCTTCTTGTTCTCAATTACTGTTTTGTTTTGTTTTGTTTTGCTTTAAATAAATCATGCATGTATTCACACTTAAGAGAGTTTCTCGGGAATGAACTCCAACCAACAAATGCCACTTTCTGGTGCCTATTTTAAAGAGTATAGAAAATGGAAAATTATCAATAAATCTCTCTGTTCGAATCCTGTAGGCCCTTACAACATGGAAATGATGTGCAGGTATAACTGAGCTCTGTGACTTAAAATACTCTGCTATGGTTATTGACAAGCAGGTCTTACATCAGTAGAGTATACAATATAGTGCAATTCAGGAATTCAAAAATTCCAACTAGTTCTGAAACCATTTATGAGATATTAAACAATATTAGTTTATTTTAAATAACCCATTCAGGTCACTAGTGCTCAATTCTCAGGAATTATTTTCAATAT